TCTCCCCCCGGGTCCCGGCCGCAGGGCCTCCCGGGTCCTCCGGATGCCGACCTTCAGCGGGGACAGCAAACTGCTCCGCGCACTGCCGTTGGGAGACGCCTGCAGTTCTGTGCCCGCTTCAACTAGTTAATCCACTCGGAAGTTAAATGAACGGAGTCATCAGTTCCTGAAAAAGCCTTGCTGATGGAAGAAAACGGAGAGCGAACGGCACAGGCTCTGACGCTGGCGACGTGGTTTCAAATTGCTTTAGAAACACACAGTTTATCATTAAACAAGTTGGTGGGCTGTGACCCACATGGAAAAGTTGGACAAGACTAAAGTAAAACAAAATATAAAACACTTTTTTTTTTTCGCATTCTATGTAGATATGTGGATACTGGGTTGGAATGTAAAATGCATTTAATCCTGTAGTCTGTAGTTTAAAAAAAAGATGAGGGCCATTGGTGGTGGATGCCAGCACTTCAGCTAAAACCTGGGGATCTAAGTTCAGCACCCGGGCCTGAATCTTCGCATGGCTGCCTGGAGGTGTGTGCTCCTGAGGGGTGTCCTCCTGGGGGGCGGTGCACCTGGGGGGGTTCTTGGGGTCTTTTGGGGGGCTGTGCTCCTGGGGGTGCCACTTTTGTTGTTGCCACTGCTGTTATCCCTTCTCGTCCCATAAAAGAGACCAAGCAGAGAGCAAAGCACAGTTCAGACATCCTGGTGCTGAGCCTGCTCCAGCACCGCAGACACCCAGGGGACCAAGCAGAGAAGAGCCCGAGGAGGCCAGCGAGACAGACTGAGGCTCACATTAGTGGCCAGAGCTTTGCTCTTGGGTCCACCATGAGTAACACCTTTTACTTAAACTGGTTCATCTTCCATGAGAAATTGTGATCCCCACATAAACCAAGGTGCAAAGAAATGACTACTAGTTGGAGCTTCTTACTAATGAGCTTGTTACTTCTGGGAGCTGGCTCTTGCCCTTGCAGTAAGAGAGTATTTCTGTTCTTTTCTCACTGTGCCCTTCAGTGGGGCAGAAAGGAAGGGGGGAGGGTAGGACTAGATAAGAGTAATAAAACAAAAAGCAAATGTATGGATGAGCCTTGAGGCCATTCTGCTACCTGAAATAAGCCAGTCACAAAAGGGTTCCACTGTGAGGTACCCAGAGCAGTCAAATTCATAGACACAGAAGGTAGAGCTGCCAGGATTTGCAGGGAGAGGGACACGCGCCCTTAGTGTGTCCATTTGGGAAGATGAGAGAGCCCTGGCGCTGCTGGCTGCACAACACTGTAATGTGCTCGATGACACTGAACTATACACTTATAAACAGTAGAGATGATAAATTTTGTGTTATATATATTTTACCACTATTTAAAATTTTTTACAGAGCAAATAATAAAGAGTCGCTAGAAGTCAAGTCAGGACCTGCGGTTGATGGAAAACAAATGGACAACACTAGGTCGCCCTGGACATAAGTTCTGAAAGTGCAGCATGTGCGTCTCATCACTGAAGACCCCACCAGGCATACCACACCATCCAGCCTGTGCGGAAAGGCCCGGCAGACCTGACCCTGTTCCTCCAATACAGCCTGCCCCTCCCACTGCCCTCGCCCTGCCTCCATCTCCTGTCCTGCCCATGGGCTGATGCCTTCCAGCCCCGGCTGCCAATCGGGGCCATGCCTTAGTCTGTTCAGACTGCTAAACAAAATACAGTTGACTAGGTGGCCTACACACAGCTGAAGTTTATTTCTCCAGTTCAGGAAACTGGAAGTCGAAGATGAGGGTGAGGGCCCTCTCCCCTGCGGCAGACTTCTCACTGTGTCCTCACATGGCAGAAGGGCCAAGGGAGCTCTCTGGGGCCTCTTCTGTAAGAAAACTAACCCCATTCGTGAGGCTCCTCCCTTATGACCTGATCACCTCCTGAGGCCCCATCAACTAATACCATGCAGTTTGGGTGTTAGGATTCCAACAGGTGGATTTGGTGGGACACAAACATTCTGACCATAGCAGGCCAACAACTTTATTTTTTTGCTTCATCCTTCCACCTATTTCACCCAGCCCCCAACCCTCCTTCCCTCTGACAGCTAGCTGTCAGTTTGTTCTCTGTAACTAAGAGTCTGTTTCTATTGTCTGTCAGTTTATTTTGTTCATTAGATTTCACATATACGTGAGAGCATATGATATTTGTCTCTCTCTGACTGCTTATTTCATTGAGCATAATAATCTTCAGTTCCCTCTATGCTGTGGCAAAAAGTAAGATTTCCTTTTTTATAGCCACGTAGTATTCCATTGTGTAAATGTACCATGGCTTTTTGGATAAAAAATGCACTCATCTACCGATGGGCACTTCGGCTGTTTCCAAATCTTGGCTACTGTAAATAATGCTGCAGTGAACATAAGGGTGCATGTATTTCAAATCAGTGTTTTGGGATTCTTCGGATATATTCCCAGAAGTGGAATAGCTGAGTCATAAGACAGCTCCACTTTTAATTTTTTGAGGAAGCTCCATACTGTTTTCCACAGTGGCTGCACCAGTCTGCATTCCCACCAGCAGTGCACAAGGGTTCCCCTTTCTCCACACCCTTCCCAGCACTTGTTTGTTGATTTATTGATGGTAAACATTCTTATAGCTGTGAGGTAATACCTCATTGTGGTTTTTATTTGCATTTTTCTGATAGTGACTTTGAGCATTTTTTCATATGTCTCTTGGCCATCTGTGTGTTCTCTTTGGAGAAGTGTTTATTCAGGTCCTTTGCTCATTTTTTTAATTGAATTTTTTTTGGGTGTTGTGTAAGTTCTTTATAAATTTTGGATATTAACCTCTTATTAGATGTATCACTGGCGAATATGCTCTCCCATTCAGTAGGGTATCTTTTCATTTTGTTGAGGGTTTCCTTTGAGGTGCAGAAGCTTTTTAGTTTGATGTAGTCCCACTTGTTTACTTTTGTTTCCCTTGCCCTAGGAGATGTATCAGAAATAATATTGCTACAAGAAATGTCCAAGGTTTTCTTTTGGGACTTTTATGTTTCATGGCTTACATTTAAGTCTTTTATCCATTTTGAGTTTATTTTTGTCTATGGTGTAAGTTGGTGGTCTAGTTTCATTTTTTTGCATGTATCTGTCCAATTTTCCCACCACCATTTATTGAATAGGTGGTCTTTAGCCCATTTCATGTTCTTGCCTCCTTTGTCAAATATGAATTGACCTAAGCCGTGTGTTGATTTCTGGGCTCTCTATTCTGTTGCATTGATCTATATGTCTGTTTTTATGCCCGTACCATGCTGTTTTGATTACTACGACCTTGTAGTGTAGTTTGATATCAGGTACCTTCAACTTTGTTCTTTCTCAAGACTGCTGTGGCTATTCAGGGTCTTTTGTTGTTCCATATAAAATTTTGGAATATTTCTTCTAGATCTGTGAAATATACCATTGGTATTTTAATAAGGATTGTGTTGAATCTATAGATTGCTTTGGGTAGTATGCACATTTTAACAATGTTAATTAATCCTATCCATGAGCATGGTATATGCTTCCACTTATTTGTATTTTCATCAGTTTCTTTCTTCAGTGTCTTATAATTTTCTGAGCATAGGTCTTTTACCTCCTCGGTTAAATTGATTCCCAGGTACCTTATTTTTTTGTTGCAATTGTAAATTAGATTGTTCTCTTAGTTTTTCTGATAGTTCATGACTGGTGTATAAAATGTTACCAATTTCTGAATTATTAATTTTGTGTCCTAGCAGGCCACTTTTTAAAGCTCAGTGTCATCTACCACAGAATGAGTGTTGGACTATATGTATCCAAGCCCCTCAAGTTAGAGTCTTTAAAGTTGTTATAAGAGTTTACAGCTAATTTTTATTATCAAAAGTCTTTGTGACTTGTTAAATCATACATTGAGCTATGATGAGGGTGCACTGGCTAACTGAATGATTACTATGTTTTACTTGGACTTATTATAATGACATCATCTCAAGGTGATAACCATGCCTCTCACATGCTGCTCAGAATTCTGGCTGACACAAGCCAGCTGGAAAAATGAGTGAATTATAACTTATTTTGGTTGGACAGGTAAAGTCTTTCAAAGCATGGGGCTCACCAGGAGGGTGATTAATGGGCAATTCCAGTGTCACCACTGTTAACCCCACTGGTCTAGGTGACCTCTAAGTTGCTTCCAGCATCAACCTGGTAAGACTGTGGTCAAGGCTATTTGTACTAGAGGAGTGAGAAGGGCTCATAGACACAGCAAATATGCTCTGAGGACCAGGGCCCTGTGCACACTGGTCAGGCATAAAAACTGCCGTTATCCTTGCTGGCCCTCTCCAAGCCCACAGACTGCCTTCCTGACATCCCCTGACTGCTCAGCCTCCCATCTCTGGCCTCACAGGTGCCACACCATGTACTAATGTCTTGGCATCTGAACTATAGCTCTACAGCTCCCTGTGTCCCATTTTTCAGTGGCTCAAATGCTAAATCTACTCCATACTCAGCAAATATTCATGGGTGTTCAGAGCCAATAAGTTAATGAGGGCCTTCTCGAGAGGTGATGTCTTTCCCTAAAGAAGTATTTGATCAAAACAAACAAACAAACACAGTCCCTCTCACAAGTACACAGGACAAACTTGAAGCAGACGGCTGAACATGGCCAGTGTCCAGCTGCGAGCCACTGCATGAGGACAAACTCTCCATCGTGGGGCAGAGAACTCCGTGTTGGCCTCCCACTTGTCAGCTGTGAGGTCACAGGGCGTGCATTTCAGCAGCTGGCAAGAGAAGGTGGTGGAAACCTTTTGGGTGGCATGCGATATCTCACTTTTTTCCAGAACTTAGCTTTTGCACACCATGACTCCTCCGTGAAGTCCCTGCTCCACTGGACTGACCCATGCTTCTGTTTGATATACTGGATTGACTCCGGCATGGATGTATAGTTCTTGACTCTCTCCACCTCAATCAGAATGACCTTCATCCCATCCTGGATGAGAGCATTATAGACTGCAATCTGTTCTTCTGGCATGTTCTTTAATAGGTCAAAGCTCAGCGATTCAGGAACTATGATGATCAGTCTCCTGCACAGCTTAACATTTTCGTCAATGACATTGGCCACAGCTGCAAGAAGAGAAAGACGCAGATCTCATGAATAAAACAGTGCCGATCTTAATGCTCTGGGGAATCATTAGAAATGGGCACTAAGAAGGAGCATTAAAATAGACATGATTTGGGAAGGAATTAACAAGAGGTTTTTTTAACATTTGTCATCTCTTCTGTGAAAACTTCCTTACTTTCCCTAAAAAATTGGTCCTTCATGTTCGTGAATCACGTTTTGATGGTTAGCTGTTGATATGTCCCTTTCCTCAGCCCACAGAGGGCAAGAGCTGCTCAGAACAAGGGTCTCACCATCCTGAGCTTTGTATCTCCAGACTCAGCTGAAGGTCTGGCATAAGATGATGAACATATTTTTTTTTAAAAAAAAAAGATTTTAAAAGGATAAGAAAAATGTAGTTGGCTCAAATGTCATTTTAATCTTTATTCGTGTTTTCCTCTTGTGCTTTATAGTTATTTAAATGACCAGGATTTATAGGACTAACTGGAAACCAGGTAACATACCCCGATGGCTTCTGGTGACAGGGAGAGGAGAGCTCTCAAAATATCCAGCTATGGATAAAAGTTGGTGGGTTGAGAATTAAAGACCGAGTCTTACACCCTCCTTATACTTAGAATATAAGAGTAGACAACACCCTCGCCCAGAGCAGACTCTTTTCCTTTCTGGTTTGTTTTAATATTTCTAGAGCCTAGAATATTACCTAGCACAGAGCAAGTGCTCAATAAATATTTGAGCAAGTGAATGAATGAATGTTGATATGCTCATGACATCTGAGCTCTCCCACGTGCTTTCAGCAGGCACTGGGCTGAATTTTTATTTCCTCTTAAAAGACGATTTCATAACTTGAAAAGCTCTGGAACGAGATATAGCTGTGGTGTAACTGTGGGTATGAGTAGCCTATAAATCCAAAGTCCCTAGAAAGCTTTTAAAGCCACTACCAAATGCAATAAAGTAGTGATCTTGGTTTCCTGGTGACTAGAAAAGGGTGCTTATTTCAAATTTCAACCATCGACTTTATAGCAAAGGGGGGAACATTCATCCATTGAGGGTCAAATACGTACTGGTCCCTGCTCAGGTTTAAACTCATTTAATACTCTCAACCAAGTCAGAAAAGCATTCTTACCCCCATTTGACCGATGAGTCAACTGCACAGCCCAAAGCTACATTGCTATTAAATGAGAGAAGTAAATACTGTACCTGTTTTATTTACGTAGCAGAGGATTAGGGGGTTGAGGTTTAGAAAATCAGCTTTAAACATGAGCTTATTTACATATTCAAACTGTCAGAAAATACTCAGTAGTTAGTTTCAAGGACATCAGGGCAAGTGACCACTTTCAGTCTCTTGGCCAAGGCTATGTGGCTCGCCCCCTGATTATGTGAGTTTAGCCATTTCCTTGCTCAAAGTGAGTCTCCTCATTTCATCCAGGCCTGTTATCCCGTTGCAGGGATGAGCCTAATGGGAGAAGAGGGCCAGGCTCTGACCTCCTGCGCTCAGGGTCGAGAGCTGGGAGGTAGAAGACTCCCATGGTTCTGTGAGGAAGGAAAGCAGGGTCCCTACCATCTGTAAAGTGAAGGAAGAGAAAGTTTCCTTTATTTTTTAATTCACTTGTTGTTTTTCTACCTCACTTAGAACATACCTTGTCCAGGAAATTCATCCCTGCCAAATATGAATAACTTGTATCCACACTGCCTCTCCAGCACCTCGGGCAGAGCCTGCAGGGCCAGCGTGGCCACGGTGGGGCACTGGCGTCCGTGTGGAGGCTTGGGGTACAAGACGTACGCATCGTACAGCTTCCCATCTGAAAGAGAAGTCGGGAAGCTCGCGGAATGATTCCTGCCAAACCTTTCCTGCATTAGCACGGTGAAAATCGGAGTTGCTACCATGCTGTCCTTCCTGCTTGGGTCCAATGACTTTAGAGTGCCCGTGGGGCTGGCCTGGTGCCATGCACTGCAAGTGTTTCCTTTAACAGGCACCTCATTCCTTCACCCCTTAAAATATCTCACTCCCCTCTCTTCTTGCTTGTGTGGTTCCTGAGAAGTTGAGCATAATTTATATCTATAGGTAAAGTGACTTTTTGCCTCTGGCTTCTTTGGGGATTTTTTTCTCTTTGATTTTCTGTAGTTTGAAAATAACATTTCTAAACTTTTGAGGAAATTAAATTTTCCTATTTAAAAATATGAAGAAGAAAAAAAAGCCCAGCCAGGCGTGGCTCAGCGGTTGAGCAGCGACCTCGGATCCAGGAGATGGAGGTTTGATTCCGGGTCAGGGCACATGCCCGGGTTGCGGCTCGATCCCCAGTCAGGGGCCCGCAGGAGGCAGCCGGTCAATGACTCTCATCACTGAGGTTTCTATTTCTCTCTCTCTCCCCTCCTCTCTCTGAAAGCAATAAAGATATATTTAAAATAAATTAATTAAATTAATTAAAAATATGATAATATTTATCCTTTCATAATAAAGGTTGGTGGGTTGGTCCTTTGGAGCCTCCCCAGTAAATGCAGTATTTCCTGCTCTCTAAACTGCAACCAACGTCAGGTTATGGTCATCTCCGCCCCAGGCCCTGCAGGAGTCTCTCTTCTCTCAGTCCGCTTCTCTTCCCCATGCCTCTGATGT